GCAGTGGCGTAATCTCAGCTCACTGCAACTTCCCCCTTCCAGGTTCAAGCGATTCTCCTGCCTCAGCCTCCCAAGGAGCTGGCACTACAGGTGCCCGCCACCTCGCCCGGCTAGTTTTTTGTATTTTTTAGTAGAGACGGGGTTTCACCGGGTTCACCAGGATGGTCTCGATCTCCTGACCTTGTGATCCGCCCGTCTCGGCCTCCCAAAATGCTGGGATTACAGGCTTGAGCCACCGCGCCCAGCCGAGATGCGGTCTTTCTATGATGCCCAGGCTTGTCTAGAATTCCTGGCCTCAGGTGATCGTCCCACCTCTGCCATCCAAGTTGCTGAGATCACAAGCATGAGCCATCACGATTGGCCTTGGAATAATTTTAGATTACAAGAATGTTGAAAAGATAATACAGAGAGTCTTTTTTTGTTTTTTTTTTTTTTGAGATGGAGTTTCGCTCTTGTTGCCCAGGCTGGAGTGCAATGGCATGATCTCGGCTCACTGCAAACTTTGCCTCCTGGGTTCAAGCTATTCTTCTGCCTCAGCCTCCCGAGTAGCTGGGATTACAGGCATGCACCACCACCATGCCCGGCTAATTTTGTATTTTTAGTGGAGATGGGGTTCTCCATGTTGGTCAGGCTGGTCTCGAACTCCTGACTTCAGGTAATCTGCCTGCCTTGGCTGCCCAAACTGCTAGGATTACGGGTGTGAGCCATCGCACCTGGCCCGTACAGAGATTCTTGTATACTCTTTACTCAACTTCCACTAATGTTAACATCATACATAACCATATGGCTATGTCAAAACTGAGAAATTAGCATTGTTACAATACCATTAACTAAATTACAGAATTTATTTATATTTCACTAGGTATGTCCTTTTGGTTCTAGGATCCAATTCAGGATACCACATTACCACATTGCATTTAGCATGGTGCTTCTTTTTTTTTTTTTTTTTGAGACAGAGTCTGGCTCTTGCCCAGGCTGGAGTGCAGTGGTGCAATCTGGGGTCATTGCAAACTTTGCCTCCTGGGTTTCAGCGATTCTCCTGCTTCAGCCTCCTGAGTAGCTGGGATTACAGGCGCCCACCACTATGCCCAGTTAATTTTTTTGTAGTTTTAGTAGAGACAGGGTTTCACCATGTTGGCCAGGCTCGTCTCCAGCTCCTGACTTCAAGTGATCCGTCCATCTCGGCCTCCGAAAGTGCTGGGATTACAGGTGTGAGCCACCGTGCCTGGCCTCGCATGGTGCTTCTTATTCACTTAAAATGTATCTTGGAGATTGTTTCACATCAGTTAATATGCCGTTGTCTCATTAGAAGGACTATAGAATGAATTCCTAAAAGTGAAATCGCAGAGTCAGTGATTATGTGCATTTAAAGATTACCAAACCCTCTCCCTTGAAGAAATTACCAGATCCTTGCCAGATACGGCGGCTCACACCTGTAATCCCAGCTCTCAGGGAGGCAGAGGCGTGAGGATAGCTTGAGCCCAGGAGTTTGAGACCTGCCTGGGCAATATAGCGAGACCCGGTTCTCCACAGAAAGGGGAAAAAAAAGACACAAAAAAGAAATTACCAGACCCTTTTTTTTGTGGGGGGAATTTTTTTTTTTTTCTCTTGAGACAGAGTCACCCTCTGTCACCCAGGCTGGAGTGCAGTGGCCTGATCTCCGCTCACTGCAACCTCCGCCTCCTGGGTTCAAGTGATTCTCCTGCCTCAAACTCCCAAGAAGCTGGGACTACAGGCGCATGCCACCACAACCAGCTAAGTTTTTGTATTTTAGTAGAGACGGGGGTCTCACCATGTTGCCCAGGCTGGTCTCGAATTCCTGAGCTCAAGCGATCCGCCCGCCTCGGCCTCCCAAAGTGCTGGGATTACAGGTATAAGTCACGGCTCCTGGCCTAGACCCTTCTAACTGGTCCCCCTTTGAGTATTCCAAGTTTCTTCACATTCCAAGATTAGGATTGAACAGTGATAATGTAAAGCGCTCAAAAAGTTTTTGCACTCTTCAAAATAATTTTTTTAAAGTCTACTGACACAAATACACAAATACATATAGCATTGCGTGATTTACATTATGCCAATAATTCCTTGTACCGTGACCTGTGTATATGGTTGAGTCCTCTTAGGACCACTAGGGGGCTCTGCTAGAAGGGTTTATATAATTTATGTCAGCCCACTTAGGGGAAATGTTTTGAGATGATGTTTTAGAATTCTGAACTCTTAAAACTTTAAAGAGATAATCTAATCCAGTTTTCTCATTTCGTAGATGAGGAAATAAAAGCCGGCAAGACAGCTGCCATGGGAGAGACTGGAATTTTAAAATCTCCTCTTGGTTCCTGGGGCAGGAGTTTAAGAAATTCTTTTGCCGTGTGCCTCCACTGATTCACCTCCATTGGCTATTTCCGTGTTTGCCACCACAATTTTAATTATTTTTGGTAAGACCATGTATTTGTGATTTTTTTTTTTTTTTGGGGACGGAGTCTCGCTCTGTCGCCCAGGCTGGAGTGCAGTGGCCGGATCTCAGCTCACTGCAAGCTCCGCCTCCCGGGTTCACGCCATTCTCCTGCCACAGCCTCCCAAGTAGCTGGGACTACAGGCGCCCGCCACCTCGCCCGGCTAGTTTTTTGGATTTTTTAGTGGAGACGGGGTTTCACCGTGTTAGCCAGGATGGTCTCGATCTCCTGACCTCGTGATCCGCCCGTCTCGGTCTCCCAAAGTGCTGGGATTACAGGCTTGAGCCACCGCGCCCGGCCTTTGTGATATTTTTATAATCGATATTTTACTTATTGGCTAGGTGAAGGAAGTGCATGAAGTATAAACTTCTAAAATGACACCCTTATTACTTGTTCCAAAATGTTCTATTCAAAATGTTTCTCAGTACCAAACCATTATTACTATGCACCTTAGAAACCACTTTCTTTTGTAAAAATTATCTTTAGAGATAGGATTTCACCATGGGGCTCAGGCTGGTCTCCAACTCCTGGGCTCAAGTGATCTGCCCCCACTAGGTCTCCCAAAGTGCTGGGATTACAGGCATAAGCCACTGCGCCCGACCAGAAACCACTTTCAAACTTACTTTCTACTTAAAATATTTTATGCTTTTTGTTTTGTTTTGTTTGAGACATAAACTTGCTCTATGGCCCAGGCTGTATGTAGTGCAGTGGCGCGATCTCGCTCACTGCAACCTGCGCCCCCCAGGTTCAAGTGATTTTCCTGCCTCAGCCTCCAGAATAGCTGGGATTACAGGCGCCTGCCACCACACCTGGCTGATTTTTGTATTTTTAGTAGAGACGGGGTTTCACTATGTTGGCCAGGCTGGTCTCGGACTCCTGACTGCAAGTGATCCGCCGCGCCAGCAAAAGCGTTTTACTCTTATCTGTACTCATTTACACATTCAATATTTATAGAGTGCCTACTATCACCAAGCACCTTTGTAGGCCTAGGTTTACAGAAATAAGGCTCCCCCTCCCCCATCCCAGTCCCCTGAAGGGCACTATAATTTCTATTTCTCCAGTTTTCAATTTAATATATATGAATTTTCACACGCTTCAGTTCAGTGGTTCTCATAGTGTGGTCCCCGAACCAGCACCAACAGCAGCAGCAACTGGGAGACTTGTTAGAAACGCAGTCTTAGGCCCACTCCACACTCTAGGGATGGGCACAGGAGTGTGTGTGTGTGTGTGTGGTGTGTGTGTGTGTCAAGCTCGGTATTAAATAGGTCAAAGATCAACATCTGACTTCTAAACCCACCCTCAGGCCTCTCCACCGAGTACCTGTCTCAAACCCAATCTGATCCAACAATAACCAGCCTTAATTCGATAATCTGTGCTACCTGAGATGATGGGAATAATCGTGGTACTATAAATGTTGCAGAACAAAAACGACTGCAGTGGATTTTCTGGGGCTACACCAACTGAAAATGGGCCGGACCGAGATCCGCGAGAGCGTTTTCCTGCGCTAGACACGGCGTTCAGCCTCCGGGTTCCGGGTCTAGCTGAGTCAGGGCGGCGTTCCAGCCGAGTGCGGCTTCGGGAACCCGTTCGGCTGCGCCCGAACCTTCGGTCAGAGGCCAGCGCTGGAAGCCCCGACCACAGCACCTGGATTTAAACAGGAGCGGAGGCGCCGGGTAGGACCGGGCGGGCCGGCTACGGCCGGCCACCTTGGAAGCCGCGCCCTCGCGGCCCCAGACGCCGGCAGGGCGGAGCCACGCGGCCGCAGCCCCAGCCGAGACGCGAGCTGGTGGCTCGGGCGTATGGGGGCTACAACGGGAGCGGCTGCGCCGCCCGGCCGGGTCAGCGTCGTGCGCATGCGCCGACCCGGCGCCATTTTGGTGGCCGGGCGCGGAGGTGATTCCACACTGAGGCGAGCGCGGCGGCCGGGGTGGTAGTGGCAGTGTTCGTGTGCTCGGGTCTGAATCGCCGGGGGAGGAGGCGGTGGAGGAAGAGGTGGCGGCGGTGGCGGTGGTCGTAGCGGTGGCGGAGGAGGCGGGTACGAATCAGCTGCGGGCGGAGACATGGCCAACATCGCGGTGCAGCGAATCAAGCGGGAGTTCAAGGAGGTGCTGAAGAGCGAGGAGGTCAGAAATGAACTCCCGGATATCCCCCATCTCTGCCTGGAGCGGGAGGGTCCTCCCAGCTGCGACCCCGATATCCCCGGTAGTCCCTGGGTGGCCCTCCTTGCGGCCGCCCTTCTGCCTGTGAGGAAGCAGCAGTGTTCCCCTCCTCCTTCCGCCGCCTTCCCCTCCCCTCCCAGAGCGCTAGGATGAACGGTCTCGCGGGCGGGTGGTCTGGGGTGGAACACGGTTTGGGGAGCTGATGGACAGGGGGGAGCTCCTCGGAGGGATGGAAGCTCACGAGAGAACCCGAGGCGGTGGCCACAGCTGGAAATGTGGCTGTGGGGTGGGGAGGGAGCAGGCCGAGCCTGAGAAAACCCGGGAAGTGGGTTGGGGGAAGGGGAAAGGTGGTAACTGGATACGAAGAGCAGTGCTGCTCAAAGGCCCACACTTTTGAGGGTATTTGGGGTTATTGCCTGTCAGGCCTTCACTGTTCTTTTCGTAGGGGAGGAGCGGTGAGTCCAAAGGTATTGATTAGAAAGGAAGGACATTCAGAGTTAGTCCTTCTTAGTTGGGTGTTAGGAGTCAAAGGGAGACATAATAGAATACTGTCTTATTTGGTGGCGGGGGTAAGGGAATTTTCACCTGAGTTAGCAAGTTACTCCAAACGAGATAATTATGTCTTCCACTTAACCCCCAAATTCGTAGGCCTCATTTTTATTGACATCACAATCTTTTTTGAGTGGGCAAAGGCGAGGTGTTTGGTGTATTAAAGACATGTAAATATTTTTAGTTAGGAAAAAAATAATGGGATGTATGAGTAGTTTATTTCAAAATATTGTTTACAAGTTACCGATCAGAGAGACTGTCCTAAGACAGTGCCTCTGTGACTCGTGTTGTGCCACGAAACTTCATTATGATGTCCCTCATAGGTAACTTGATTCTTACTTTTGAAAAGTAGACCTATTAAAAATGTGAGATTTCACCAGATTAATACATTATTTCATCTCCTTATTAAGTGAGTAGATTTATCACGACTTAACAGATTTTCAAAAAAATTGCCTGCCGTTGCTCTTAAGTTCTGCAGAATTTATATACATTAGTACTACGTTTATTTATGTAAGATATTCACAATGCTCTAGTAATTTGACTCAAAATTATGCAAGTATTAGTACAGTGTGTCGTACCAAGATGAACAAGAATGCCAGATTGTCTTCCCCACATGAATTAAACAAAAAGTAATACAGAAAATGATTATTTTCAAGATTCACATACCATTATTGAATATATCATTGCTATTTTTGTTTTTCTTTTACGGTTAGTACTTTGATAGTGTCAATAATGATTTGTGAAATTCAGCATTCTAAATATGTGATGAGTATACATGGAGAAAAATTATTTAAAATTCAAAAATGACAACAGACTTATTGAAAGTAGTAGTATGTAAGTCATGATCGGTTTTACAGAGCATGTGTATGAACTCTGACCTCTGTGTTCATATGCCAAAACTCTGAATGGAAGGATGACTTTGTATTTTGTGGTACAGCGCAGAAATAGAGTCAATAAGTGTCTGTACTGATACAGTGAAACAGCAATTTTAACTTATTTAATATGAAAATGTATTCCAGGTTAGCTGACATACATACTCCTAATGAAAGATAGCAGCTAATATTGTTGCCAACAACCTAAAACATTTCTTGTTTAATAAGGTTGTACAAGCCTGAAACTTAATAGACTTTTAGTGCTTTATTTTCTGTTACAAGTGGTAAGTTACTGCTTTGGTAATTAATATGGTCTCTTTGCTTTTTATGAGCTCACTTTTCGCTGTGAGATTCTTAGTACTTAAGTTGAAGATTACCAGAAATACTTGTTTTGCTCTCTAGTAATGCATATTGTTAAAACAAACAAACAAACAAAAAAACACTGCTCTTTATACGTAAGGGATGATGAAGCCTTACTTCAGATAAGCATCAAAAGTGTTTCAGAAGAAGAAAACAGGAAATGCAGACAGGTTTTTTGTTTGTTTTGTTTTGTTTAGAACAGTACCTGTATAAATATGGAAGGAAACTTCTTTTGGGAAAATCAGTTGCAAAGAACATTTAGGAAAGAGTCACATCATTTAATCTTGCAATAAATATAACCAATAAATAGCTTATTTTCGCCAGTATTTTTTGATATTTTAGTAGCCCCAGTTCTATAAGTGGATTGTTATTTTCAACTCATTGAAGACTTGTAGTATAGTCCATGTGTTTCCTTTTTAAGGGTGTAAATCCAGTCTTTTGAATGGCTGATCAAATAAATATTTCATCATGTCACTTTTTTGGTAAATCTGCACTTTACCAAAATTTATTTCATGTGCTTGTATGCTTGCGTTTACTAAGAACACTGGTTGATTTAAGGACTTTTTGGGGTGGCCTTATAAGTGCCTTTGTAAAGATAGCTGACGCTTACTGGATTCTGGTTATGAGAGATTATAAGTGACCATTCTTAGAGTGTGTTAATTAAAATACAGCGAACAAGATAAATGTGAAAAGCAAGATGCAGAATAGTGTGGAAGAAGCCACCATTTGTGTTAAAAAGAGGGGAATATGTGTATTTGTCTTTATAGGCAAAAGGTTTCACAAGAAATTGGTAAAATTGATTGCTTTCTGTGTAGAAAAATTGGGTCTCTGGGGCATGGGGTATAGATATTTTTTGAATTTTGTGTCATACGAATGTGATTTACTCAAAGGCACCAGTTGGCCTCTTTCCCTTCAGACAGTGTTTGGAAATTTGTCAGATGTTTCTTTTTATTTATTAATATTTATTTTCTTTGTTTTAGATGTTTGTTTTTAAATACGAGTGTGAATTTTAAGCAGTTTTAAATAATATTCCAAAGTTGTTAGGCATGGAATATTGATGTAAAGTACGTTTTATAATTTATGAGTAGGATTAAATTTTATAATTTATGAGTAGGATTACATTAGTAAATTGTTTATGGTGAGGATATAAACCCATAATCAATGTTTTATTCATAGGTTGTATTATTTACTATTAGTTATTGCTGCTTTTAATAACTAGTTGTCATTTGTAGAATGGCTAGTTGTTCTTAGTGTTGTTTGTTTATACGTTATTGCTAATTCTTAAGAATAGTTCTTTAGATTTTCTATTTCCTAGATGAGAAAATAGAGATTTAGAGAAGTTAAATTATTTGTTTGCAAACACAGAGCCTGGGATTTGGATCTAGGTCTGCTTGTGTTCATATTGTACCACGCTGTCATGACTTGCCAAGGATAGGCATGCTTTTAATTAACTTAAAAAATCGAGCCTGGTTTGTATTACTGGTTAAAGGATTTAAACACAGTTTTATTTGCTAGTTTAAACTCATTGAAATAAGTGTTACCTATAATTAGCTTTAAGATTTACTTGAATTTCTTTCTTTTTTTTTTTTTTTCTTTTGAGAAGGAATCTCGCTATCTCGCCCAGGCTGGAGTGCAGTGGTGCCATCTCAGCTTACTACAACCTCTGCCTCCCAGGTTCTAGAGATTCTCCTGCCTTAGCCTCCCGAGTACCTGGGTTTACAGGTGCCCGCCAGCATGCCCAGCTAATTTTTGTATTTTTAGTAGAGACGACATTTCACCATGTTAGACGGGCTGGTCTCAAACTCCCAACTTCAAGTGATCCGCCTGTCTTAGCCTCCCAAAGTGCTAGGATTACAGGCGTGAGCCACCACACCCAGCCAGATTTACTTGAATTTCAACATACACAATATTTTAAAATCTGAAACTTGATGAAATAAAACACCCTTAAATCAGTTCACTTACTCTTGTTGCTCTTATGCTATATGGCACCTGTTGATTTTTCATGTTGTAATTACACTTTGGTAACATTTTCTTTTTTTTTTTTCTTTTTCTTTCCTTTTTTTTTTTTTTTTTGGAGACAGTTTTGCTTTTGTTGCCTAGGCTGTAGTGCAATGGTGCGATCTCAGCTCACTGCAACCTCCGCCTCCTGGGTTCAAGCAATTCTCCTACCTTAGCCTCCTGAGTAGCTGGAATTACAGGCATGTGCCCCCACGCCTGGCTAATTTTGTATTTTTAGTAGAAGCGAGGTTTCTCCATGTTGGTCAGGCTGGTCTTGAACTCCTAACCTCAGGTGATCTGCCTGCCTCGACCTCCCAGAGTGCTGGGATTACAGGAGTGAGCCACTGCGCCTGGCCAACATTTTCTAGTCTCATAGGGTGTGTTTAAATCTATGGCACAAACAAATTGGTTTCATGAAAATTACTATAGTACATTAAGTTTTCCTTCATCATTTAAATAGATTTTTATATCTATTTTCCTTTAAAATTTTAATGTATTTGATCTAGCTTGATCTAGATTATTCTATAATAAAAGTAGTTGTAAATCTCTAAAAGTAAGCCTTTTGATTTCTGTAGATCATGGGTTTTTTAACCTTGTCACTATTGATATTTTGGGCAGATAGTTATTTGTTGAGTGGCTCTGCTGTGCATAGTGGGATGTTTAGCAACATCCCTGACCTCTACCAGTATATGCAGGTAGCACCGCAAACCCCCAGCCCATGTCCCCACTATCTCCTCTTGCTGGATGCATCAACTAAAAATGTCCCCAGACTGCCATATGTTGAGAACTATGTAGACAAAACTTTTTTTTGATACAGAGTCTTGCTCAGTCACCCAAGCTGGAGCGCAGTGGCACGATCTCAACTCACTGCAACCTCCACCTCCTGGGCGCAAGCCATTCTCCTGCCTCAGTCTCCCGAGTAGCTTGGATTACAGGCGCCCACCACCATGCCCTGTTAATTTTTTTATTTTTAGTAGAGACGGGGTTTCACCATGTTGGCCAGGCTGGTCTGACAAAACTCTATTTTAATAGAGTATTTATGGGCCAGGTGGGGTGGCTTATGCCTGTAATCCAACATTTTAGGAGGCTGAGGCTCGATTGAGGCCAGGAGTTCAAGACCAGCCTGGGCAACATAGTGAGACTTTTGTTACTACTAACATTTTTTAAAAATCAGCCAGGCCTGGT